GGCCCCGTTCCTGAGCAAGACTGGTCACCCATCAGTGTGCTTCAAGAGCTCCCAGCATTCAGCCTCGCTCTCCTGCCTCAGAGGCCCACCCACCGGGACCTCTCGTTCATCTAACACTTCTGATTGCTGTAAAATATCGCCAGCCATATTTTCTCATTTACTTTTCAGAACCGTTTGGTGAGATAAAAGGCAGTCATGCGCACTTAGCAATAAGAGCCCGCGGATGGGAGGGAAATGGTATGAGCGCCCGCACACCCATGTCCTGCAGCGGCTCTGCCAGGGGGATGGGCCCCAGACCCAAACCCCTGTAGTGCATGCTCTGCCTGGCCTACTCCCAGCTATTTCCCCGCTCATCGAAGGACCGTGTATGTCTATCTACTTCATTTTCTTTTTTAAGCGAACAGAAAGTTCAAACCCAACAGCAGTAGCAACAAGAACAACAGAGAGAAGGCGCTTTTCTCTTTGATTCTCCTTACTCAGAATTAAACTGTTCCCTACAGTTGGCTTCCAAAACACACCGTAGGTAAACTAGGTTGTCACATTGACGTGAAGGATGGTTACTTCCTAATAAGGTCAGTCAGTTTTTCTGCATTCGTTCAAACCTCATTTCCGTGTCGCTGTTATGCGCCACCTCTCTCTCACTACCAGGTCTCCTTCCCAACCAATGCCAAAAACCATCCTTCAGTTTAACACAATTTTTATCAGAAATTCATCATGTTTTTACGAGCACCAGCCGGATAGCAGACAGCATGCCTCCGACACTCGGGATCAGGAGCGGGAAGGGGGGGTTCTAGCGCAGTGCGTGGCATGGGTGGTGAAGCTGTGGCCCTCTCACCGCAAGGTGAGCATGGTTCAAACTCACTCCGGGGTAGCTCAGAAGAAAGGCCTGGCGACCTTCTGAAAACCCTCCGGAGACGCCGCACCGCTCTCCTCTGCACCCACAGGGGTCACTGCGAGTCAGAATGGCCCTGACGGATCTAACAGGCAATCATCAGCCGCGAACTGGGGTTTCTGAGTTAGCCTCACACAACTGCTTGTCTTTGGCTGAATCTCTTTAATTCAACGTGGACTGTCTGCGTCCACAGGTTCCCAAGCTTACTTGGCCCGCTGCCGCCACCTTCTCAGGTTAAAAAAAAAAAAAAAGATGCAGTGGCTCTCCTGGCAATTACAAATGATTATACTCATGGCCCACAATCCAGGATAAAGTGTAGGTATCTGGTCCTGCACACATATCCCCCCCATTGGCTCCCATCGTTTGCCTCCAGGGGGCAGTACTGCCCACTCTGGGAAGCACAGGCCTGGATGAGTGGGGTGGTAACTAGTCCAGAAGGAAAGTCTGAATCGGAAAGTAAAACCCTATCACATCCATGCCCTGATCATATCCAAACATGTCCTGAAACAGATGGCACCTACCATTTGTCATTCTGACCCAGGTCACGACAAGACGCCCAGCAGGAAACTGACAGCTGCTAGGTACCCAGGACAGGTCATCCAGGTAGAGGGCTGCACTGGCGCAAGAGGCCCGCAAGCCCACTAGGCTGAGCTAAGCTGCCAGGTTAAGAGCCCAGCCCTGGAACACAGTTAGCGGAGAGGCTGGGACACCCAAACCAGCGGACAGGGCAGGGTTGGAGGCCAGGGTGACAGAGGGGGTGCAGCACTTCTCAGCATATACAGCTTCAATGTTCCTCCACTGAGGACCCCAGTTCCACAGGTGATCCTGCCAGATCCCTGGGGGCCTGCCCCACCAGGCACTGGGCCATGAAGGATCCGACACTCGCCATGGCTTCTGCCTGGGTAGGTTTCCCCTGGAAACGTGGCTTCAGAGGCCTGGGGCAGTGCTGCCAGCCACGCGCCTTCCATGCACAGCAGTCGTAGCCACGCACGCTGGCGCCTCTCAGCATGTCACCTCCATCCCCTTCATGGGTGCCCTGAGGAGGAGGCAGGATAGGCAGATGACCACCCTCCAGGAGGAAACGGGGGAGGTCTAGGGATGGGCTCCAAGGGCACATGCTTAGCAAGTTCCTGAACTCCAACAACCCGACCAGCGTCCTCTTTGCCACTCCCAGGGTCCCCCGGGATACTCACGTCGGTATCAGGACTCTCACAGACCTGTTCTTTGACCTGGCACTGCCACCACTTCTCCACGTCCTTCCTTGTCTGCAGGCTGTACTCTTTGGGCCACTCTCCCGTGGCACTGTAAATGCCTCGGGCATGTCCCGGTGGAACTCTTGTGTCCCACGTAGTGACCACAGGCCCGCCAGTGAGCTGCCTTTTCAGAAGGGAGGCATAAAAGCCAAGCCTCTGCCGCGCGGGGGCCATTCTCCAGAAGGCAGGGAGGCCCTGAAAGAGGACAAAACACAACCTGGCACACTGTCGCTGCCAGTCCCCAGTGGTCTGTGCACCCCCCCCCCATGCTTTCCTCTTCCTCCCCAGAGCTGCCCCTCCTTGAGAGCTATACACACATTCCAGTGGGAAGAATGAAGGGGGGGCAGCACCCGCTCAAACTCCAGACCCAAGCCCCACAGAGGGACTAGGGGAGGCAATTACGTGGCTGCTCCTGCCACAGCTTCCCACAGGAGGCCACAACCCCACTTCTCTCCTTTCTCTTCAGGCCAGCAGAGGGCCTGTCCAGGAGGCCCCATGCCCCAACTCCTGTAGCGGGCCCAGCAGCTCCAAGCACGTCATGAAGCGCCGCGGGGACTCAGCTATTATGAGTACTTTTCATGTGTATCAAGAGTGAGGTATAGGCTGGCTCAGGAAATAACCTGGATTTAGAAGAGTGTTTACTCATCTTGTTCATTCATTCACCACCAAACGCTTCTTGGGGGCCACCAGAACCACACCCTGTGCTCAGTGAACACTGGGGGCGTCAGCAGGGACAATCACGGGGCTCACCTGCCAGGGAGCACGTGCAGGCGGCACCCACAGAAACCTGCACCCCACTATGTGGCTTGGCAGGGCCATGAAGGCCCGCAAACAGCATCAGTCAAGTGAGGCAGCCCTGAGGGGCCCAGAGGAAGTGAGGCCTCGTTATTAACCACTGAGCCCCAGAAAC